GTATCTCGTCCTGGTTTATCTGCTTAACCATATTTGGCAATCAGATGACTGACTCTCCACTGACTGGCTAGTTAACTGTCTGCTTGCCTAATTGTGGGCAACTGACCAACCATATATAGATTTTTTGCTTTTGCAGCAGTGACTGCAGGAAAAAGATTGCTGCTTGCTGGATCAGTGGGCAAACAGTGTGGACATTAGTTGAGCATATAAGAAACAATTTTCCAGAGTGGACCGTTGCTGTGCCACAGTAGCAGAGGCCAAGCAACTGGACTTATAGCAAGCAAGAGGGTGTTTGCAAAGGAATAAATTATTTGCTGCCTCCCCTAACCATAGTGGTTGTTCCTTGGCACAGCAGCATTTTTGGCTACAGCTTATGCTTTCTGCGCGCTTTCATCTATCTGTCTTCGCCTAACTAGCAGCCAGACACAGCTTATCTTCAATGCAAAAGTTTTTTTTTCATGCATTTTATTTGCATTGTTTTTTCCCCCTTCTTTTTTTTCCCTCATTACACGCTGTTTTTTATTCGCTTCAAAACAGCTGAATGTTTAAGAAGAGTTTGACCTGTTTCGATATATACAGTTATCTTGATGTTTAGCTTTTACTCTTTTAGGCTCATCTATTACTTTCTCTTTACTATTTTGACTTAATTTTATTTTACACTTTTCTTCTGGTCTCTCTTCTTCTTTCCTGTTTTTTTCTTTCACATTTTAATTGAGATAAGCTACACCAGTGAAGATAAATTTTTTTGTAACTGGTTCATTCAATATCGCTTTTTAAAAGTTTGCTTTATTCGTCAAAGCAGTAAAAAAAATAAAAAAAATTTTTTTTCACAAATTTGTGGTATTTGAAAATTTTCTGAAAATAACTGCCTCAAGTTTTTTGGACTGAGTGTCTGCGATAATGGCTCTAAAGAGAAGGCGTGGATGCCGACGTTGATGTACAATGCGTACATTTTTTTTCACTTTTTCCTAGTCTTCTAATTTCGCTCATTTCTCTGCTTATCTAGATAATTTTGTAAATCTGTTCTTTCATTAGTGTGTGTCTATGCAATATTTTTGTGTCAAAGTAAGCAAGGAGCAAAAAAATTACAAATCTTCATTTCAAATTTATGATGTTTGGAGTTTGAGCTTTTTTTTTACACGAATATGTTCTTGCTAATACAATGAACAGTAATATTTTCTTTTGATTAAAAATTAATTTATAATTAAATTGCCAATTTATTTTCTTATTTTAGAAGAAGTATATGTTGTGACATAACACGTACCCAATAATTTAAGTAAAAAAAGGAGGCAGAAAAAAGGCAACTAAGCCATCGGGCGATGGATCCGGCTGTCCGCCAATGTTATAGTTGCTGAATCTTGCTTGTTCATTATGCTGATCACCAAATAATGGGCAACAGACTCCTCGAGTACTCGATAATTGCGCTCTCGTTCAGTTTTGTTCTCAAACTATTGTAAGTTTGGTCTATCTTCTTAAAATTCACAGTTTTTCTTGAATAATTTTTTTAAACCATTTTTTTGCTATCATTATAAAACTAGTTATAGTCATTTTTGTTAGTATTATTATTATTATTATTGTTTTTATTTTTGTTGATTTAAGTTAAGAGTGAGCATCTTTGCCATACGTAATTTGAGATAATGTAACAACACAACGCTTTTACTTTACTTCATCAGGTGAACAAGTTTTTGAGACATTGTTTTTACGTGGTCATCAGAAAACTTTTGGTTGATGAGATGAAAATTTTCAGTTAACTAGGGAGTGATAAAAATAATTCAGGAGGTTATTGGTTAACTGCCGATAGTCGTCTATTTCTTTTTTGTATAGTTAGATATATCATTTTTCTAAGAATAAAACCAGAATTTTTTTTAACGACCTTGATACAAACCTTTACCAATTTTTTATGCGGGTTATTTTTTTGTCAGAAAACACTTTTTCATCTTTGAGTAGATAAAAGTTGGGATCCCCCTACATTTACTGGTATTTTGAAGTGAGCATAAGTATTTTTGCAAAGCTTTTACAAGTAACCAAATGCTTAGAGAAATGACTAAGGTGGAGGAATTTCAAAATATTTGAATTACAGCATCGTCAAAACGAGTATATAAATGATTGTGCTTTTACTTTTTGAAGTTTTGACTGTTTTACCGTTAACGGCGGAGAACTTAAAGAAGCGTGTCTTGTCGCTTAAATAATTTTAGTTTATCAAGGTACCACGCTGAAATGGTAGTTTGAAGTTATTTTTCATAAGTTTCTTTGAGAAGTGATACGTGTAATTTATTAATTGTTAAAAATGATCAGTGAAATTTAAAATTTTCTAGAAATTAGAAAAAAACGGACGGCTTCTAATTGTATTTGTACGGGTTACATTTTTGAATCTTACAATTTTAAAACAATTGTTATAATACATTTTGGAGATAATCATTGGTGATGATTAATGCTCCGAAAAAGTTTTTCTTCTTTTTCAAAAAAACCATATTTTTTGTAGTATCATTTTCTTTATATCACTGATAAATTTCGGGTTTTTTCAGTTACAACCGTCGGCTAGTCAATAAAAGAGGAAAAAAGAAAGGATATAATTAAATTTTTCTTTGTATTTTTTAAAAGTATCTATACTCTTTGAAGACAGGTTTTTTTTTGTAGTATTATTTTTTTTCGTAATCTAAGTATTAAAATCATTTTTTTATTGAGGATTTTTAGCGATTACTTTTGTTTCGTTTAGAAAACTACTGTTATAATGAGCTTTGAAACTTGTCGCTGAAAATACTTTAAAACTATTCTTTTCAACTTTTTATTTTTTATTTTTTTTATTTTTGGATTATTCGAATTTTTTGAAAGAAAGGTAAAAGGAGGGAACTCAATTAACACTCCATTCCTCTTCAGATTTATAGAATTGCTTTTTTGACAAATAGCTTGTATACTGTCTGATTCGGAAATAAATTTTAAGTAGGACAGACTTCATGGTTGTTGGTTGTTAAAACAAGTTTTGGGAATTCGATTAAGGCTTTCTCCTCTATTAACTTATCAAGTTGTTGCACAACGATACTTCAACAACAAATTTATTTGTTAAACTGGTACGAATAAGGTGAAAAACTCCTTTCTGCTAAGCTACCAAAAAGATTTACGAGAAGTTAGGCAGGTGAGGCGTGATGGTTATTCTCAACTGCTATTCGTGCATTCAACAGCAGAAATTTTAAGATCGATCAGATTTGATTTGTAACCAGTCTTCTCAAGGAAGAAATCACTGTTAACGGGAATTTTTTACAGGTTCTTACTAGATTTGAACAAGCGCGTTTATAACCATACTTCTGGTGGCTGCAGGATATTTAGTTTTATCTGTACGCTTCTTTACTTTTATTTGTTTATTTATTTATTCTTTAAAGAAATTATGATGTTTTAATGAACGGTAAGGGGAAAGCAAAACATTGATTTTAATCTAAATTTTTTGCATAATGCAATTAATCAGTACTGTAATGGTGAGAAAAGTATTTTAGAGTGTTCAAATTTAAATTCGTTTATTTGCTTACTTCATTAAACGCTCTATCTTCTGAATATCTTAATTTTAAATTAAACGCTCTATCTTCTGAATATCTTAATTTCTTAATCCCCTTATGACGGGATTAAGCTGTTCATACAAAATCCACCAAGTTTTGCAGAATTGTGAGACTGTAAAGTTATCATTTAGTTAGCCAGTTGTCACATTCTGACCACTCAATGCCATCTTTTAGCAAATGGTTCCGGCGGGCTTGAATATGTCAAAGAGGCTGGTGGAACATTTATAACGTCTGGTCTTGCGAAAAGCTTTGGTTATGACTGCCTCCATGGAGATATTTATTTCTACGAGTTTCGTGGCAAAAATCAACAGTATGAAGTGAAAAAGCTTAAGATTGCTAAACCGTTTGATCGAGTTAGTCTGATTTACCAAATTTCCATAATTGAATCTGTTTGGTACAATAAGACTTACTACGTTACCAGAGTTTAGAGAAGGCATTTACTAACTTATAAGTTGTAGCGTTATTTCGCCCCCTACGGAATCAGTTCTTTCGTAAGCAAAGGTCGCATAATGATCTATGTAATCAACAGCTACCAAAACAATGCTTCTGTTGAGGTTTTTCAATACAATTCCGCAACAATGACGCTTCGGCACCGAAAAACTATCAGGAATTCCTTTTTTAGAAAGTCAATCTTATGTCTTTTAAGTTACAGTTAACATTGAGAATTGAGCATAGTTAAACTATGCGATTTTTTGATTTTTCTAGTATGATGGACTTGGTTGTCGTTGGTGCTGACCGGTTTATAGCTACAAATTTCGTCTACAGTACATACCGGCCTCTTCAGTTTGTAGAGCTAGCTTTACAGACACCACTTGGATCTGTTGTGTATTATGATGGCAGAACAGCTACTTACCTTGAAAGGTAGAAATGTTTTACCAATTGAAACTTTCTTGAACGAAGTAAATTGAGAAACAGTGGTTAGAGTCAAACCTTGCCAAGGTTCCTATATGTCATAATTTTCGCTTTGTGTGTGGATCACTTTTGAAATATTTAATCTATTTGAAACTACATTAAGAGGTCTTTCTTTTGTGTGATAGCAATGGTAAGAAAAGTTTTGACAAACCGAGTTTGCTTAGAAGACCGATTGCAGGAAATTGAACATTGCTCAAGAAAGACGTGAACTTAAAAATGCGTCTCTCTTTTGTGAGGCGATATTGGTGAGTATAGCACCAAAATCTGTCTCAGAATTTTGTTAGGCAGGGACATCAGATATGGAAGTTATAAATGTTTTGTAGACTTCCCTTGATACAGTGCATTAATGAGGAGGAGCACAGGTAAAAGAAGTGGCATAATATGCTATATTTCAATTTATTCAACTTTTTTTTTGCTATAACTTTGTAGGTTATTTTTCAAGCACTGTCTCGTGGCTACAGAGTGAGCTTAAACAAAAGTATAAGGGTTGCTTTGTTTTTACTCTTGTAATAAGGTCATAGTTTAGATTAAAATGACAGATTGTTGCTCTAAGGATATGCAATCTATTTTGTTATTTTTTTTGTCAGGCATGACTGAAGTTGTTTTTTCCTAGTTTGAATTTTTCAATTTAGTTTTTTTT